TGTGTGTGTGTGTGTGTGTGTGTGTGTGTGTGTGTGTGTGTGTGTGTGAAGAAGGGTTACTGTCGTGCTTTGGGAGCGAAGCCAAAGACGATACACAAGCTGTGAGAAACTCAACAGTCAGTCAGTCTGCTGGTGGCTAATCAAAGTGCTCCAGTGGCATCAGATCTCGGCCGGATCACCTCAGGATGGTTGTCTGATCTGCAGCATGAAAAGATAGAGAGTGGGGGGGAGGGGAGTGTGGATGGGAGGGCTGAGACAGAGGGAGAGACAGAAACAGTGTGAGGGTGCTAAGAAAAGGGGAGGGGAGGAAAAAAATAGGGATGAAGATCATTCCCACAACAGATAGCACTATCTCACAGGGGTTTAAAGGGCCCCCTCTCTGTACACCCCCCATCTCCTCCCCTCTCCTCCTCTCCCACCCCCCCTCTTCCCCTCACCAATAATGCCAAAACTTGGCAGCCAACCCAGCGCATGAGCAACAGTTTCCCATCAGAGAGAGGCAGCCGCCCTACTGCCTTGGCACCGGCGACGTCTGAAGAATGACGGGCACTGTAAGAGAGGATCGAGAGCGAGACATGAATGAAGTCTGTGAGGTTGAGATGAAGAAAAAAAAACCCAACAACAGATATCAACGGCTTTTGATTGTCTGGGAGTGATTCTGGTGAGCAGACGTGTTAAAAGTGTAAAATAGTGATAATATTCGACAGTAAATTAAATAGAGGTTTGTAATAAATAAAATGTATCAATATTTTTTAGCAGATTTTTTGTATTTGTTCATCCGAGGTGAGAGAAAATGACTCTGAACATATCTGCTGTAAAATCTGACATTTGCTGTAGGAGGCCTCTCCATAGTCGTCTGTGCCCCCTGCCAAGGGATGAGGGGCTTCACCTTTTTACACTTGGCACAACCCTCCATGTGCTCACCAGCAATGCCATCAGATTATGCAAATCCATGGAGATGTCCTATTCAACACTACCTCCATTTAGAACTGAGATATTTGAGCCAAAAATGAATAGAGTGATAAAGGAGGTAGTGTTTTAAAGGAGGCAGAGCAGCTAAGGGTCAAAGACATCTCCGATATAAATGAAAACATGATGAATACTGTACAAAACATCCCACTGTGGACCGCCCTTTCAGTCACGCCCTCACTTTTCTTGCTCTTTGTCTTTTTCCGCTGTTTTGTAAAGTTTTTCTCGTGTAGAGGGCGACCGCTACCAAAGACAATCAGAGAAATATGGAGGCCGAGAGCGGCATGGGAACGGCCCAACAAGCGTGCAACAACACACTATAGAGGAGAGCCGTGAGTTAAAGAAACAAAAACAACAAACAAAAAGAACAAACTTGGACCAAAGTCTTTGTTATTCATGAGAAAAAGGAGAGCAAGCTTGTTAACTTGCACAATTAAGGCGTCATTTGCCAAGAAAAAGTGGCGTTCTTTGTTTTTGTGGGGACAAAAGGTTGAGAACGTGTGTTCTAGATCAGCGCCGTGAGTTTCACGAGGGTGGGTTCGGCAACAACAAGGGACACTTTTGTCACGAGCACAGACAGTGTGACATCAGAAAGTGCTCGAGATAAATCAGGTGATTTTGCATGGTAGTTAGACAAAGAGCGCCATACATTCCAGTTCCTGTGTGTTTATAAAGGGCGTATGAGTAAAAGAGGAGGCAAATATAACAACAGCATGTGAGTAATTTCACAAGACGTCTCCAATAGAGAGGCATAATTTATGTTTTAATGGCTTTTTGTTCAAGACTAATGGCATTAAGTTTGACAACATCAATAAATTAGGGATATTTGAAAGAATATATTAAATCAAAGAACACGTTAATAAAGACATTTGCATATTTCTCCACTCTAGTAGAATAATTAAGAGATGTTATGCAGTTTCTTAATTTTTCTGGCAATATTTCGCTTTTATTGAGACGTCAAGTTT